TCAGTCCCCCCGGTTGTTGCGCGACTGCAGCTGGTGATACAAGCAATCGAGCGTCTATAGAGACGCTTGATCGCTTGAGTGTGTTAAGCTCCCGGCCTGCCGTGTAATTACAACGGCCGGCCAGGAAGCTGCTCGTCGGGCTCCACCGTCCACTCGTCACAGACGAGTGGACGAGTGGATTTTTCGAGCCCTGTATATATATATATACACACACACACAATTTATTAAACTTTATCATGATTGATGAGTTGATCTATTTAATTTGCAATTATTAATCTACGCACGTTGTTTAAAGTTGGTGCAAACTATATGTAGCTTTAAATTCTTGTAAGGTTCAGTATCCCCATCCACACACACACAAAAAACACTGAGTTCTAGGCCATTGTCTCAGTTGTATTGCAGGTGTTTAGTCCAATGTGTCACTTTTGGTTTAAGCATTTACAGGTGCAAGCTATTTCATTGGTGTAATTACTTTATTATACTCAATGCATGGCCCTCTTCCCTTCTACCTGGCTGTCTAAGTTCCCGATAATGTGATCAGAAGAAGAGGAAGCTTAATATACTACAATTCCAACACTTAACTTCAAAAAATAAACATCACAGTCTACAAAAGTTGGTAATTATCCAGAATGGTTAAAACAGTCCCAAAAGAGGCTGCAATGTGGTATTTGTTTGGAAACATTTTGCCCCAAAGGCTCAGAAGGAGAATTGCTCACCTAAGTGTTTTCTGTAACATTGTTTTACAGATTGGGATGATGATTGCAGCCCGTTAATGTGTTTTGAATTCCTTGAAACCATTCAGGATGAAATGTGGTCCAACGCTAAGTCCAGGGAATATTTTCTACATCTGAAAGGGTTTATCACTGGGTTATTTAAAGTTTATTTAATGCCACATTGCTCTTGATGGACTGTATATCCTAGATAAATCAAGCATTAAATTAGAAATAATTATCCTGATTTCACTACGGGTTTTAAATTAACTTTTTGATCAAAAGACAATTCCTCTAATAAGTTAAAAAGGTCTTACTTTGTGCTTTCTGCATTTTAGAAGTGTACACTGATTACTTCAATATCTAATATAAATCATAATAAAATATATTTTAATATAACATAGGTTATAAAAATATCTAATAAAAACTGTGTGGACTTCCTGTTTATCATCCAGAATTAGCCGCTGAAAGGCTGGCTTAGCATACAGGAACACACTACGAAGAAACCCAACCACAATTTGATACCTTGCCTTCTTCATGACACAAGAGGAAGCTAGGAAATCTCTGAGACAACGGCTCAATCTGTACGTTTATACATCATATGTCATACTTCTCAAATGGCATGCCATTGCTAGTGCAGTGGACCAGTCTATCTTCAGCTTTTATAAAAAGCAGATGATCCATAATAGGGAAGAGGGGGTTATATTAAAAAATTATATAATTACATTTCATTTAACAAATACAGAGTGTATGCATTAAAATGAAACTGTATGGGCAAATAAACAGGTTTATGCAAAAGCTTTCAACCAACTCCCTTCTCTGCTTATACTGACTCTCCAGTAAACTTCATTCGCCCACTTCAGCCAAGGAGAAAAAAAACATTGTGCAAGTTCCTAGTCGGTTTGGTTTAGGCTTATACAGTGCTAGGGTCGTTCTCTCCACCCACCCATGAAAGTTCTAGAGGCTGGCAACAGGTCACTCATACATCCAGTGCTGCATCATGAGACAAAGAGGACAAAGTCACATGTTTCCAATATTGCAGAGTTTTGCTGGGGCTCAGAAGTACCCATGCAAATGGTGACTTTCTGAATGTCAATTTGCATAGGTTTAGGCTTACCCCTGTCCCTCTTGGGTTTGGTATCTGGTTGTTGAAGTTGGGGGAACTTTCATCTGCATGTACCATTTTATGTTATCCAAGGTAGGTTGACTTAGAAAACTTAGGCAGAAGAAAGGCTTGTTTCAGCTGCACTTTTTGCAATAACCAATGTCTAGATTATGAGAAAGTTCAAAGCACACCTGAGCTGTCAAACACACACCTAATCCAACATTGTCAGCACACAGCACCTGAGGGTGCAAGTAAGTAAGGTCCATTCTCAATTTAGGCACCTGGAGTATCTGGAATATGTGTGATCTTAAATATACCTTCTTCCTAGGTCTGCAGGTTTAAAGCCAGGACTTACCTCACACCAGCCTCCTGAGCATCATGAGAGGCTTTGGGGCCCTCAGAGCTTAGATTTGTGAGGCCACCCATCACAATAATTATCTAATAGGATGACTTAAAAGTAAAGCCCAAATTTGCATTTTTCAGTTTAGCATTGCAACCATGATCATGTGTGACCATGTTTCATGTGACACCCTGAATA